TCTTCGTGAGACAGCGTTAAATCTGTCGAAGATCCTTTAGGGTCCCGTCCCTCTACGTCACTGGAATCACTAGGTTTTGGAGTATGTGTAGGGCTAGCGATGACGTGCCAATTGCCACGCTCGGGGTCACGCTTCTCGCGAAGAGACCTTGGAGTAGGAGACGTCCCGTTGGTCTGGATTCCTCTCACTTCCTCCTTCTTCTTGTTCTCCTCTGTCTTCGCGCTTAGCTCTTTCTGCTGCTTGCCCCTAGCAATGCGTTGTTCTTCGTTAGGATCCAAAGCCTTCCAATACTTAGCCTCGTCCCACACACACTGTTCATTCTCTTTGCAGGGTATCATCTGAAATTGTTCGGGCATAATACCGGTCTTCGTAGACTCATACGCCCATACACATCCATCCGTCAATTTGGCAGCAAGTTTAAGATCACTATCAATTCCGAACAACTTAGACCCAATGGCAAACATGCCGCCAGCGAAGCAGGTCAGATGTGCCCCCTCATACTGATAGACCGGTTCAGCATCCAGTCGGGGTTTGGTGACGGTCGCTAGAAAGCGGACGTCACGGTCGTCTTTGATCATAGGTCGGAAGAGGAGATGCTTTCGCGTTGCATCTGCGGTTTTTTCATACATTGTACGGTACTGTTCGTTGAGACCACCTAGAAGCATGTACTCCTTAGGTAGGTACTCATATGTCGAATCTCCCGGGGCCGCGAGCCCGAATTGGAGGGAACCTGGAGCATTGGTAAGCCCCCCTTTGCAGTACTCCGCAGTGTCTCCAGTTGAAGTTGGAATTTCAAGCGCCTTGGGAGCTGGGATCTGGGGGTTTGTGTCAAAGAAGGCTGGCTGTGCATCTTCATGAAGCTGGCGTGAGTCCAAAAGAATTCTATAACTTTCCGCGTCCGTCGGAAAAGAGATTGTGCTTTCAACAGGTGTTGGGGTAGCCGTAGGAGTGGAAGAATTCCGTGGTAAATCACGCGGGGCGTCGTGGCCAGTTCGGGATTGAGAAACTGTACATCCAGAAGCATCGACTTTCATCGGCCACAGACCTGGCATGCTAGTTTGGCTTTGGAACTTCTCTAACTCGTTCGTGATCCGTGCAATTGCATCATAGTATTTGTCATCCCTGGTCAATTGCGCTAAGCGTGTGAATTCTACCGAAAGAGAGCCCAGCTCGGCAAGGACGGACATGATACTAGCACGATGGGGATTCGACGCATCCCCCCTGCCTTAATTGTTAGCCATCATTACAAAGATACCAGGGCCATGTGGTAATACTTACGGCTTCCACTTGTAAAAGAGCATCGGCATCCGATTGGGCGTATCAAAGGCGCCCATCAAGACTTCCGCCAACTCGACCGCTTTTTCCAGGAGTAAGTCGTGCTTATGTCCTGAGATATCGTAGGCACCCAATAGACCACCAAGATATCGGATTGCCGTTTCGAAAACAGGAATCTCGCTCTTTTTATTTGTCGTAAAGTCAATTTTTTTCACCTGATCGACAGCAATAGAAAATTCTTCCTCCAAGCCCATGATCCAAAGGGTGTCCAACGTGTCAACAAGTGTTGCTCCCCACCCGTTGAAAGGATCTCGAAATGCACCCCGGAGCGGCATGACCTCGTCGTGGCCCATAGCATTCTTCTTGTATCCGTTCCACGCATGTTCGAACGTCGCCTTGATGGTGGATAATCTGCTCAGCCGTTTAATCTTATCTTCCGAGGCTTCATCGGAGAATTTGGCCTGCAGTTTCGGAAGAGACTTAGATTTGCCGGTCGGTAATTTGATCAAATCTGCAGGTGTGACAGGATATCGCTCCGGCAATTTCTTCCAATGAGGCACCGGTTGATCCTCGAGACGGTCCGAATCTAGTTTACCCTGACTCTGTGCGCCAGAGTTGTCCGGGAAATAAGGCCCATCCTCCTTGGACGACGGTTCGTTCGACGGTTTTGGGCGTTCAGGGGTCGATAAGCCATCGTCTGAGTGGGGAGGCTGTGAAGGGACCTTTTCGTCTGATGTACTGGGATCAGTCGAGCCCTTCGGTAGAGGTGTTGGCAGAGGGGTCTCGGGTCCCTGGTTGTCCGCTGGGGGTGGATTTTGAGGGTAAGAAACCGGCCGATCGACAGGCGGAGGAACACCCAATGTCACCGTAGGGGGCTGGCGAGATCGACTAAAATGAATGATAGCCAAGAGAGATACAGCCGCAAAGATTAGCAGAACTCGATATCGCCGAGCTCGAAACATGGTTGGTGATGTCGCCGTAGGCGAAAAAGAAGGACCAGAAAGATAAAAAGTGATCCAAAAAAGGAATTAATGGTAGGAACGAAGGATGAAGAGCGACATGGGAAAAATCCACCAAAGGGGGCAGGAAAGGGAAAAGTACTGTCGTGAGAGTCGAGATCAGGAGACAAGAAAAAGAGAGACTGGTAAATTCAAGTAAACAACGAAAAGAAAACTGCAAATTGGATGAATCAAGTGGGGAGAGGTTTCTTTAGATAGATCATCATAAAGACAGATACTTTTCTGTCCTGCCTATAGGAGAGTATCAGCGATTGAGGAGAAAATTAAATAATAATATCGGAAATTTTCCAATTGTCCGGCTGAAGCAAAGAAGACCTAACAGATTGTTGAACCAACAGGAGAGAAGGCCAAGAGACGAGTGCCTCGGGCGGGGATCGAAAATTTAAATGTCAGTTACATTACCGACCCAAGTCCTAGAGGGGAAGCAAAGAAGTAGTAAAGATCAGCATTTCGCCTAATATATGGGTAAATTCTTTAGTCTTATGCATAGAGAGTCACATTGCTCTGCTTGATTATATCAAGCGCCAGCAGAGGGATCAGATGCGCTGCTCTGGCTGATATCGGCACCGAGGAATCCGTCCCCCGGATCAGCGACCGAAGGATCAGCAACACCCGATGCGAGGTTCCAGACTCTTCAGGTCAATTGGCAAGTAGTACTTGTGAGACTGTTTTCCCCTGCTCTTGAACATGGTGACTGTTTTGAATAATTGAATTGAAACAATATGCCTATCCGTATTGCAGGACTGGTGAAGCATCATATTCAATCCGTAACGACGGAGTACTACTAGAATAAGATACTATACAATGAAAGGGTCTTGCCGGACCCTGCAGGGTTCAGTGTTTCTAAAAATAACCCCGTAACCAGGGGCAGGGCCATTGCAGTTCTTATGTAATCAGCCGCTTCTCCCTGGGTACAGAACTAGGATATAGTAGTAGGTAGCTACGTCTCTGTAGACAGTGGGTGCGAAACGAGAAGATTCACACAGCATAAAACAAATAGACAGATATCAGATCTTATGGATTGTTTCCTAACTATCTCCTTACTCCTACATAAATCACATAGTATTCTCTTTGTTTTCTTCCAGATTATGCAGGCTTATTCATACTGTGCACATAGTAAGCGCCCTTCCGGTATACGTAGTATGATTGGCGGTATGCCTTCGGCGTGTATTAGTACTAGTAGTACTAGTAGTAGTAGGCCAACGGGCTACGGAAGCGTGCATCGAAAGTCCTCGCCAGGTAGGTCTCGGTCACGTGGCATTGACACTGCTAAACGATACGATTGATTTTCAGTCACGTGACATTGACCCACCTGAAGAGGACTTTCTGTGCACGCCTCCGTACAAGATGTATATTAGGAAGATCGGAAATGTTCAGACTATGGGGCTGGTGCGTCAGGTCAAAGAAAACATTCAAAACGAAAAAAAGACTGGTAAGGATGGGGTTCAAACTGTCTTATGTTAGTGTCAAATTGTAGCCAATCAAAGATTAGAGAACATACCCCATGCATCAAATGATAGCGGGTCTCAAAACAACTGCTTAAGTCCGCCGCCTGTTGTGCATTTTGTTAGTATGCGCGCGCATATTTATTTATAGACGGATGAATTACCTTAACCACTCGGCCACCTTACCACAAAGTGGATGAATTTTGGATTTAAGGATTTAATTGCCTCAATATCAATGTCGGTTTAACATCACTCCATAACAATAACCAATAACCACTGTACGGGCAGTTCATGGTCTATTAGTCTGTAGTTGTAACTATAGTTCAACTTTATACCAGATAGCTCATGTTCGTGCAAAGAAAGGTACGGGTCACGCCGACATACACGCCAAAAACAGTAGTTAAGGTCTTGTGCAACAATGACATGATAAACACAGGCTCATCTCTATAAATACTAATCTCCCCTCCGCCTTACTCTTGCTTTCCCATAATCTCTAGCTCCTCTATCTATCCTCTTTACGGTTTTCTTTTATGTCTTATTGTCACCCCCTATCCCACATCACTCGGAACAAAGAATAATTACATTCCATAACAACACCTTGCAGAGCGTTTTTCCAATCAGTGAAGATGTATAACCCACATGGACCAGTCTGCAAATACTACGGCATGGAGGGCCATGACCAAATGTTTGCAAACCAAACGGAATACACAGTTACGGGAATACGCTCACATTCAACAGCCACCAACGCCACAAGGAAAGCCCATTTCAGGACCACGAAGCTTTTTCCAGGAACGCTTCCCCAACCAGGTGCAGCCAGCTGTGGCCGAGGATAGGAGCCCAAGTGCACCAGCTGCAGTAAGTCTCAGTGTCTATAGTAAACCATCGTCTTGAGGTATGGAATATCACTAACAAGTCTTTCTTCCTACAGGACTCGTCCGCCGTCTGCCATTCCTATGGTGTTTGCTAATATTCTTGAGATATTCATGGCCAGATGCTTCCAGTCCCTTGCACCAGGGATTCTTGAAGAATATTTCAGTAACGCAGAATACTCTGGTGCTGGCCTGATTGTCGTTCCGCCACTTCTTCAGGGAATCTCGTGTAGCCCACATGTCAGATACATCTACTCACTCCAGCTAGAAGACTCGCCAGATATGGAGATTAGGGCATGGTCACAATATCGATTGAAGCGACGGTTAGAAGCCCAGCCTTTATCTCAAATCCGGACTGGCAACTCCCTCCAGCGCCATGAACATCTGGAAACATGACATCAGCTGCAAGCGCACAACTTGGGATCTCTGCTCTACAGCCCATGGATACTACAGCTTTGCTCACGAAGCCATTAGACATGGAGTCCTGCTTGCGTACAGTTAAAGATGCCGTTAGAAAGCCCCAAAAGGTTCTTAAGCCTAGAGGTACTCTTAAGGCCCAGGTTGGGATAATTTTGGACCAGCGTAGCTATCTTAGTGAGAGCCAACCACTGTCATATGGTGCGGTCGGCGAATGTGCAGTCTCTTGGGGTATCAAGCAAAGTGGATTCTCTGAAGAAAATTCGCTTATTTGGCCTTTTCCATTCACCCAGGAAATAACCAAGCTATCAACATCTCTTTTCTTCAAGCAGATGAAGCCAGATGATGCTAATATTATTTGCAAAGCCAACAAGGGTCTTATCCAAGCAAGCAACCTACGGATCATCACTAAAAGTGATGCTGAAGTTACACGGCTCCTAGACCTAGGGCGCCAGATTCGAGGAGTAGGTGAGTTTTAGACAGGCTTTAGGCAAGATTCAGGTGGGTCTGAAGGTCAGAGCAGCAAGACATATACCCAATGAATCAAAGACGATAGTATAAAAGATATATAACAGAAGGATATTTGCGGATGGTCACCCCTACCGCTGGAGCTTGTCGTCCTTTACCCTTGTGATTAGCGATCTGATTTTCTTCTCGAGCCTGTTCAGCCAGTCCATCTTGACTGTAGTAAACCCTAGTGCAGTCAGACGGCTGCAAGAGTTAACACTAGCAAGGTATATAGAGAGGCTGGTTGGCTGTGAAAGGTGGTGTGGTCTGAGAACAAGAAGATCTGAGAAGTAGTTTGCAGGACTTACCAGGAGTAGTATCTTCAGTGTCAGAGTCAACATCTGAGTCAGTGTCGTGATCAAAGTGTGTGTTGATATAAGAGTCTGTGTTTGTAGAGTGTAAACTTTGGTGGGCTCAGATTTGATGGAATCCACCTTGATTCAAAGCCACGCAATATTTTCATGGTGACTTCTTTATTCAAAATCTTGTAGAGTTGGCTAACGATAGCTCTCAGTTGGTCATTCGTTCCAATCTCAACTCAGTGAAAAATACTTATTGGATCAATAGGTTAGCCCAATATATATTCTGTGAGGGTAGATATGGAGAGTGAATACCTGATTCTTTGAGTTCAGGTACAGGAACACCCATTGAGACCCGTCTATGATTATTCCATATATTTCCTGGGGTTCATTCCCAGATTTTCTTCGATTGCGCTGGATTAATGCTGTCAATGTCCCGTCAGTAAAGTGTGAATTCCAACATACACGAAGATTCTGGGCTTACACATGGCTGCAAGGACTGATAAAAATTGATATTTATCAACAAGATTTTCTGCGCGAAGCACGATCAATTTGGTCTCCAAATTGCATGCCTCTCCGTACCAGAATATGGAGTCTGCTGCGCATTCTAGGATTTAGTTGTTGCTCTGAAGGGTGTCTGGTAAACATATATGTTGTTCGTAGGCCCAGGAAACAGTCACTAGACTCTTCGAGATATTCTCCATATCGAATGGTGGTTAGGAGTACATATCGACATTCTTCTCTATTATGATCTTTGTTAGAGCCAGTGTATGATGTCAGATGGCATCGACGCGTGGCCGAGTTGAGGTAACAAATGGAGATCCAGCAACAAGTGCTAGACTGTGATCGTCTAGTAAAGAGACAAACCAAGTCAGTAGCTCATATGCTATGTGAGGTGGGTGAACGTGCCATAGTTTCTGATTCCTTACGCTGGTATTATCTGTGATTTTACAATAATCGAAAAAACAGCCATCAGACACGGAAGATAGAGAGTGTCCCATCGCGAAATCGATCTTCAACTTCAACGACGCCGAATGGTATGTATATACTTTCGAGTTGACCGTATACACAGTCTATGAGACTATTGCGAAGACTCATGCGTGTTCGACAGCGAAGTGGAGGATGATCAGTCAGACGCGAGAAGAGGAGTCAAAGGTAGATCCTGACTGAATTATCGTGTCATATTGGGGCCAATCTGACGTTATGGGATGACAATATGAGGGTAGATTATGATGAAGCAGAACTTAACTTTATATTGTACGTACTTTGCACTATGCCTACAGTTCAGTTGTGGATATTATTGACGGCATTAGCAACAGCCCAGCGTTATATAGACCCTTTTCCAGAAAGAATGAGTACATACGACCACACAGGGTTTGGAAAATAGGGCTTCCCGTCCGCTCAGCCGTACTTTAGTAGGTGACTAAAAATTTCGATCATTTGGACACGGTAGACATTTACTTGGGTGGGTACGGAAAGGGATATTAATCTGTCATTTACTAGTATCATTGAGTATTTCTATAGTTGATACTGTGACCTCAGATAGGACATTCCGAAGAGTAATCTAGGGCTTTTAAGCCATTATCTACTCCCAAGCGCCATGGGTAGGTAAAGCTGGGTTGAATGTATATACACTCAATATAGTGTGCGCGTTTTTAGGACCTGTGAGTATATTTGAACTTCCATGCTGATCATGTGAAAGTAGGCAGTCACTAATCCTATTGATGCCAATGGAGAAGTTTAGGGGGTGACATATTCATCCTCCCCCTTTTATATCCCAACTGTGGTGCGTCCGCGGTTGTCCTTGCTGACCTTTTGAAATTGCTGGATAAGCCCTAAGACCCCTGCGTTCCCAGCAATATCTTCGACGTTCTCTCCGTCCTCACCTGTGTCCTTGTCATTTTCATCCCCCATCAAGTTCATCCGCCAGGACTCTCCAAGGTTGCTATCACTGGTGCCGATAGCGCCACCGCTGGATCCCGTCGTTGTATGTGGCGACTTCTTGACAGCAGCATGACGGATCTCCGCTGAGGGTGATTCATTGCCGTCCTCGATCGGGTCACTCATGGGTCGCACTGGACGCGACGACCTGAACCGTGGATAAAGGGCAGAGCGGTTTGCCGTCCGGAACTCTGACGCTGTCGGCTGATGATGCGGGTCAAGGAGGATAGATGGTGCGGGAGACGCGTGATCGCCAAAGCCTGCGGCCCCGAAGCCAGGGCCCAAGGCCGATTGTTGCCCCATAAAAGTAGCTGCTGGACCATGTCGTGTTTGAGTTTGTTCCAGCCGCTCGCCGATATTACCCATTTCAACGGCAGACGGCGACCCCAGGGTCGGAAAGGCAGGTGGAGGATGGAACTGACGGCGAGTGGACGGGTTTGCAGGGCGATTACCACCATAATTATCCAAAAAGCCATAGTAAGATGCAAGCATTTTGCCATCTTTAGTCGAAAAGTAGTCCGCCCGCAGGTCCTGTCTCCCGCTCTCTCGTCGTCCCGTACCGCCTTGAGTAATGGCGTTGGTGCCTTTCTTGAAATCAAATACGGCAAATGAGCAGAGATATCCCATGCCATCCACATGCACGGTGAACTCCCGGAAGAAGTCGATAAGACGATCACTGCATTTAGGCAGGCTGAACCAGAGAATAAACGGGGTGAAGATCATGCTCAGGATCTCTTCTAAGAAGATGACGATCTTCATCTGGTAAAGCATAGCAAACTCCTTCCGAACTTCGTCACTGTGCAACCGCCCCTTCCAATGATTCGGGAAATAGTGGGTGAAGTCAATCACTTCAAGAAGTGCAAACTCGGGATCAAACACATTTGTTTCTTCCGGAACTAAGCCTCGGGCAAAAGCCCACACAGAGCCAAAAACACCCAGGTAGAAAAGGACGGTTCGGTCATGTGTTATTTCAAAGCCCAGGAAAAGTTCTGGGTCTATTATTGATACCAGAGCCAGTACGGACGCCAGGGCGCCCGAAACAAACGCCACAAAGCCAGCAACCTGGACAGTCTTATCCTTAGGAAATTGGTCCACATAGCGGCTAGCAAAAGGATACGACATGTTGACACGGCGCTCAAATAGATGCCAGAGTTCATTGAACTCTCGGAACTTCCATTCGGCTAAGGGGGTATACTGCCGGGATCCAATCTGGGACGGGTTTTTCTTGTACTCGTTAAAGTAGCGGAAAAAATAATGCATCAAGAAGTAAACGACAATAAAGGGGGCTACGAAGATATTCATGATACCTGCGAAGATGAATCGCCGCCGCAGGCCCTCACTCAAGGCTTTTCGGTGGGTATCCTTCAGGAACAAGGTTCGTACTTGGCCCTGGTCATTAAAAACATAGTCCATAATGCAGAGATTGATGTTCCATTCTAGCGTCTGCGAAAATAGTTGCCTGTTTCGGAGGAACGGTATTGGGAGAGTCAAATCTAGTATGTCTTTGTTCACCAAAGCGATCAAGTAGTTCTCTTTACGCATCAATCGGTTTGCGATATCGTGAGCATCCATCCTCTGCTTGGACTGGCTCCCCATGAACTTGCGATGTCTGGCAGAGACTGCCCCAGCAGTGGCAGGGTTCGCATCTCTAAGAGTCATCAGCCGGCTCACAACCTCCTGCCAGGAGATCGTTTGGATCTCGTTATCAGAGATTCCGAGCAAATAGTAGTAAAAGTCATGCATGTGCTTGAGCCTTCTAATATCCATCAAGTACTGAAAGGCCTTTCCAATCCAGAAAACAGTCAAAAGCCAGAGCAAGAAGGTAGAGGACATCGACATCTTCTTAGTGCACTGTTGGATGAGTATATCATCCATTTTTCTACTTCCTCGAAAATTGCGATAATCGATGCAGTTGGTGAGAAAAGTACTAAATCCCACAACGAAACCAAACGTCCTGTAATTTGTTTATGCATTCGTCAGCGGAGGTAACCATATAAGAGCCAAGGGTGAGCTCAGGTAAGGGCGTACAAGAGGCTTAAACACCGGTTCAGCAAAATTGACCATATCCCATTCCCTAGGAAGTACGTATAAACATCCTTCACAAAGTTGTCCAGATTCTCCACGTTTGCCCACAGCCACATGGCTTTCTCTTTGGGATCTACCGTGGCCAGGTTAGGATGCCCCAGCGACCAGATTACCCCGGGACGTTGTCCCCTGCGATCATTGTGGAGCGGTAGCTGTTCCCTTGTTGTATTCCAACGAACCCGATCTGCACGCGATGAAGGGCCAGGGGCAGGAGAATGTTCTCGCTGCGGATGGCGATGAGAAGGAGGAGGTGGGGGAAGTCGAGACTTCATCTCGTCGTCATCCTGGTGTCCTTCTACTAGAAGGGAGGGAGGCACATCATCATCACCGTCGTCGGGGTCCTGGTGCATCCACCGAGGACGACTGTGTTTCCGCCGCCGAGAACCAGTTTTAGCAGCTGCTGTGCCAGAGGTTCTTTGTGGGCTTCGTTGCGTCAGAAACGGCTCGCTCGGGCTCGGGCTCGGACTCCGTATGCCGTTTCTCGCAGCATCGACCATGGCCTCTTCCAACTCACGGTCACTAAATTGAGTCCTCTGATCATCTTCAAATTCTAGTCCTGCACGTTCCTCAACATCCGAAGGATTCGATTCTGCGTCCTGCTGTCGAAGCGTTTCGTAGACCGATGGAGAGCCGTTCGGAGGAAGGAA